TATCTCTTTCTCTTTTCATCTCTCTCTTTCTCTCTCTCCTCTCTCTCTTTCTCCCAGTATCTCTCTCTTTCTCTCTCACCTCTCTCTCTTTCTCTCTTTCTCCCAGTATCTCTTCCTCTCTCTCTCTCATCTCTCTCTCTCTCTCTTTCTCTCTATGGCATGTCTGAAGGAAATGAGATTCTGCTCTCTCCTAACATGAGCAACAGCTGCGAGTTAAATCTTCGGAGGAGTCGGGCCGGTTGAGGCAGCTGTCTGCAGGAGAAGACTCCACACTACTCATTCTTTGTCTTCTGCAATTACAGGATGGAGGATGAAGCTGTGCTGGACAGAGGCGCTTCTTTCCTTAAGCACGTCTGCGACGACGAGGAAGTAGAAGGTAAGAGGCTGTCTTCTCTTTGAGCATTAAGGTAGCTGTTTCTTTTCCGAGGCTCAGAAGTGTGTGTACATGAGACATCCTACAAGTGGGGTTTGTATACACCATAAGCCTAGAACGCTACAGGGCGATCGATGTGTAGAGCCTTTGCAAAAAAATTTTAAAATAAAAAGTTTGGTTTGGAAACATTTGTGAGATGTTTTTATTAGATCTGTTAACAACAACAACAACAAAAGGTTTAGGGGTGACATTATAGCAGTATTCCAGTACCTGAAAGGCTGCTCGGAGGGGATCAATCTATTCTCCAAAGCAACTGAGGTGGCAGGACAAGAAGTAGAAGATCCTTCAAGAGAGATCCAATCTAGAACTAAGAGAAATTTGCTGACAGTGAGAACAATCGGTGGAATAGCTTGCTTCCAGGAGTTGGTGGAGCTGGAGGTTTTTAAGAAGATATTGGACAGCCATTTGACTGGGGTAGTGTAAGACTCCAGCACTACTACTGGGCAGGGGGCTGGACTAGAAGACCTCCAAGGCCCCTTGCAACCCTGTTATATTATGTTCCATGTTTTAGATGCATTGTGGTGCTGTTGTTTCTCTGTGCTTCTTGAGATGGTATTTGTTTCCCTTGCCTGGCAGGTAGACTTTGGAATAGAGTTTCAGTACACAAAACACATATTTATTGAACTACATATGGTGCTGGAAAAAATAATGGCCATTTAAAGACCCTGAACATGACAGGGCTGGCTCTGGTATAAGAGATAGAGGGGAGAAGTTGGGAATTCTGTCTCTGAAGGAACCTGTTTCTGATTCTTTCAAACCATCTCCTTTTCATGACTTTTCTGCCTGGCCCACACTTCTGTCTCAGCAACACAGTTCAATTTACAGAAGGAAAATTGCCAGATTAACTTTATTTTTTTGGACAGTTTGGGCCGAGAGTGAAGTTTGTTTATTACATTGCAATAAAAATTGACATTGTGCTGATCTTCAGGGACTAAAGCTCCAAAATTTTCCAGCCCAAACAAGGTGAATTACTCCAAGTTGATAAAACATAAGAGCTTCTTGAGAGGTGTTGCTCCATATAGACAAAACGTACTGTATTTCATATCTCTGCGATTATTATATTTGAATTCCAGTCTTCTTTCTTTCAAGGCTTGCAGGTGTATAGTCTTCACCTGTTTTATCATGGCAGCGGTTACTTCTTTGAGAGGTAAGCTAAGGTAGAAGGGGTAATATGTAGGATAGCCTCAGTCATCCAGGTCATTGTTGTTCCAAAAGTGCTTCCTTTTCAGGAGGCAACGGGACTTTCTGGTTTTTCTTTGAAGACGTTTCGCTTCTCATCCAAGAAGCTTCTTCAGCTCTGACTGGATGGTGGGGAATGGAAGGTTTTATATTCCTTGCAGACAGCTGGTCATTTGCATCTTTTAGAGAGTCCTTGAGGCCACCTGGAGGTTTAATCTGTGTCCTCAAGAGTTATCTGAGTAGTGCTCCTGGTTCCTGAAGTCTGCATTTTTCTCCTTTGGAAATCCATTCCTACTCCCATACTATTCAAAGGGCATTCATCCCAAATTGTATAGCTAAAAATCTGTAGAGATTCTCAGTCCTCCAGGTCATGGTTGTCCCAAAGATGCTTTTTCAGGAGGCAACTGGACTTTCTTGTTTTTTTTCCTTTTGAAGACATTTCACTTCTCATCCAAGAAGCTTCTTCAGCTCTGACAGGAGTGCTACTCAGGTGACCCTGAGGACACAGAGAAACCTCCAAGTGGCCTCAACGACCCTCTAAAAGGATGCAAATGGCCAGCTGTCAGCAAGGAATACAAATCCTTCCATTCCCCAGCTATCATGTCAGAACTGAAGAAGCTTCTTGGATGAGAAGCGAAACATCTTCAAAAGAAAAAACAAAGTCCAGTTGCCTCCTAAAAACGCACCTTTGGGACATGTAGGATAGCATAATTGGATGGTAGCCTTGTTCTCTCTTCCCATTGATTCTGTCCAACTCTCTTTTTTTTTGTCCTTGGTGCTGTTCTTTCTTTGGGAATTATACGTGTTCAATACATAACCGTGTCTCTTTTGCTTGCCACAGAAATGCAAACAAAACATTCCCCATAATTGGGTTCAGTCTGGATTTCTGGTAGTAAGGTTGTTAGTTATACTTCATATGCCAGTAGGAAAAGAGATGGTTAGTTTGTGCAGATTTGTTTTATAGAGTATGCAGTCTAATCAGTATTCTATGCCCCCATCCTGACTCAGTGATGTAAAAAAACAACTTACACCTGGTCTGTTTTCCAATCATGGCAACTTCCAGATGTGCGGACTTCAACTACCAGAATTCCACAGCCAGCAGGCTATTGCTGAGACTTCTGGGAGTTGAAGTCCACGTATCTGGAAGTTGCCCAGATTAGGAAAAATTAACTCTAAACAAAACACAAATGGGATATTTGTAGTCTAGCAGATATTGCTGTTATCCAGCATGTGACAGCCTTCAACAGCTTGATGGATGACCTGTATTGGTAGGTTTGATAGTCTGCTTCTAGAGCAAGGGTCTTCAAACTTGGCAAGTTTAAGACTTGTGGACTTCGACTCCCAGAATTCCTGAGCTAACATGTCTGCAGGAGGAATTCTGGGAGTCGAAGTCCACAAGTCTTAAAGCTGTCAAGTTTGAATACCCCTGTTCTAGAAGTTCATACATTCCGTAGTGTTGGTTTATGAAGAGTGTTTACTAACACTTACTGTATATGCTACTTTACTCTCAGGGTCTTACAGCAGCATACATTGTAAAATCCAGACAATTAAAAGGAGCTTAATAATATTCAATGTTTTGATGACACTGGCTAACATAGGTAGTTACCAATACCTTCCATTTTCTGACCATCTAGTATTTACTTCCATTATGGAAATTCATTATGGTTCATTAAACCATTGCCTTATTATTTTTCATTCTTCAGAACTCATCATCACTCTGATAATGGAATAAAACACCCAGAGAGATACCCGAGGTCCTTTTGCCCCTGTTAGTTCCTTGCACAGACAGTTGAGAAGGAATAGTTTTTCTTTCATGTGTTTCCTGGCACATTCCTTTCTTGATAGGTAAAATCGTGCTACATACCTAAGGTGGTGGAGCTTTGGATGTGTATCACAAGATAACCCAATTTGGCAAGGAACGGAAAAGTTTTGAAGGCCCTGCCTTTATCCTCTTTTGATAAGGTTTCGGGCAGTTTTGTAATATGACTTCATAGAGAACGAAGGGCTCCAGATTTCACAAACTGGTCGCTGGAATTTGAAAAGGAAACCAGAAAGGTTCACGTTTTTGTTTTGAAATCCCTGTAACAAGAAGGATGAATGCTGAGATTGATGCAGAGGGTTAATTAGAACATGATTATGGTGACTTCCAGTAAAGAGGAGCTAAATGAACCACAAATCACTTGTAATTTTTAATGGGTGGTGCATTCATCAGATCGAGAGCTTTGAGGCTCTTATTTTTATTCTTATTCTCAGGAACTGCATTCTTTCCAAATACTGTTGAGAATACTGGATCGGCTTTTTGTGGCTAGAGTACAAGCAGATTATCGTAACAATGCTTGTTTCTTACTTTCTTTATGATGGTAAGATAAGAGTTTCTGGGGAAGTTTAATTTGAGAGAGAGAATAATTGATGTGCTGCCCTTCAACACATACTTTTTCAATAGCAGTTTACCAAAGTTTAAAAGGTAGTTTCTGAAAATAGAACAACAGCTAAAATGAAAACATCTAATAACCATTATTTCTTTTCATTGTGGAAATGCAAAGCAAAGCAAAATTTGGTCCAGTTATTGCCAACCTCCTACAGCCCTGCACTTGAAAAGATTTCCCATTCAATCCCATGCAATGATCAGAACCACAATAAATTAAGAATATTGTGGCCTTCTTCTATTTCCTTCTCTCTCTCTTTGCTGTTTTTCTTCACTGAATTTTTTCCTCCTCCATTTGTCTATGGAGATTCTCGGTCATCCACGTCATGGTTGTCCCAAAGGTGCTTTTTCAAGAGGGAACTGGACTTTCTTGAGTTTTCTTTGAAGACGTTTTGCTCCTCATCCAAGAAAGCACTGACTGGATGGTGAGAAATGGAAGTATTTACACTCCTTGCAAACAGTTTGTAATTTGTATTCTTTTAGAGAGTTGTTGAGGTCACTTGGAGATTCGTCTGTGTCCTCAGGGTCACTTGAGTGATGCAAATGGGTGTGGAGCCATCTTGGAACTGCTGAAAGGACCCTATAGTACAGAGGTCCCCAACCACCGGTCCGCGGACCGGTACCGGTCCGTGGAACAAGTCCTACCAGGCCGCTGGCTTGCTGGGCGCCGCCATCTTGTTTTGATGAAAAAGTGCTTCCG